AGCCAGGATGGTCTCGATCTCTTGACCTCGTGATCCGCCCATCTCGGCCTCCCAAAGTGCTGGGATTATAAGCTTGAGCCACCGCGCCCGGCCAGCTTTTAGCTTTTTTTAATGAATCATATGTGTAGTGTCATATCTAAGAATGCTTTACCTAACCTTAGTTCTTTAAGATTTTCTCCTATGTTTTCTTCTAAAAGTTTTATGCTTTGACATTTTACAATTAGATCTGATTGATTTTAAGTTAATTTTTGTTCGAAGTGTGGGGTTTAGGTCATGGTTCATTTTTCTTGCATATGGATGTCCAGTTGCTCCAATACTATGTTGAAAATACTGTTCTTTCTCCATTGAAATGACTTTGCACCTTTGTCAAAAATGAATTGGCAACAAGACCATCTTAGATACCCCACTAGGATGGTTATAATAAAAAAGACAGTAACACTTGTTGGTGAGGATGTGAAAAAATTGGAACCCTCATTCATTTCTGGTGGGAAACCACTTTGGAGAACAGTGTGGAATTTTTCAGCAAGTTAAACATTGTGTTTTACTGTGATCTAGCAGTTCCACACCTAGATAGTATTCTACCTAAGTGAAATAAAAACATGTCCACAAATACTTGTACATGAATGTTAAGAGCAGCACTGTTTTTAATAGCCGAAACATGGTAACAACCCAAGTGTCTGTCAACTAATGAAGGGGTAAGTGTCGTACATCCATACAGTGGGATGTTGTTTGGCAATAAAAAGACATATACCTTGAAAACATTAGAATAAATTAAAGGAGTCACAAAAGACCACATATTGTATGATTCCATTTACATGAAATATTCAGAATAGGCAAATTTATAAAACAAAGGAGAGTAGTGGCTGCTTAGGGCCAGGAAGCTATGGGAGAGAATGGAGAGTGACTGCTAAAGAGTATAGAGATTTTTAGGGGCAATGAAAATATAAAAACGCAGATTTTGGTGATGATTGTGCAACCCTGTGAATATACGAAAACCATCGAATTGTACATTTTAAATGGGTGAATTGTATGGCATGTGAATTATAGC